GTACAGTTTTAAATTTCCGGGAGTTTTGGGGCGACGATTAGTGAAAAGGACTGCTGTGCTTTTTTGAGGGTTCAGTTTTATTTTCCATTTATCTCCCCATTTTTGGATGTCATTCAGGTGGTCTTGGATATTTTTTGTCACTGTTTCAACGTCTGTAGAGCTTGAATATATTGCGCTGTCGTCGGCATAAAGTGCTATTTCCGTATTAATCGATGTAGGAAAGTCCGAAACATATAGGTTAAAAAGTAACGGAGAAATTTTTGAACCTTGAGGTACACCTGCATTTATAATTTTTATTTGTGAAGTAGTATCGTTAATTTTGACTTTAAAACAACGAGCAGTGAGGTAGGATTTAATTAGATTGTAAATAGCATTTGGTGTGTTTAACATTTTTAGTTTATATAAGAGTCCGTCATGCCAGACCCGATCAAAAGCTTGGGCTACATCTAAAAAGGCTGCACCTGTATGTTGTTTTTTTTCGTAACCATCGCTTATATGTTCTGTTAGACGTAGGAGTTGTTGGGTAGTTGAATGATTTGATTTGAATCCGAATTGGAAATGCGGAATAGCATTTATTGCATTTAAATAATTGGTGAGCCTGGAATGTATAATTTTTTCAAAAATTTTTGAAACTGATGACAGTAAACTAATAGGTCTGTAGTTACGCGGATCAGTGTTATCTTTGCCTGGTTTTTTGACCATGATGATTGTGGCCAGTTTCCATTCCTTAGGAAAATATCCAATTTTTATTAGGGAGTTGAATAATATGGCTAAATAAGTAATTGCTTTCCTAGGAATATTTTTTAGGATATCATTAGTAATTAGATCGTGACCGGGTGATTTTCTTTTTGGTAATTTTTTTATTATATCTAAAATTTCGTTTGGACAAGAGTAAGGTAAAATATTTTGTGGAAAAATATTGGGCTCACATAGTTTTTGTTTGACCAGATTGTCTGTAGAGTTTTCAATTGCAGAATTGTTTAAAGTGAAAATATTTTCAAGAGTGTGGGCAAACAGTTCACATTTTTCCGAGTCAGTATTTTGGTAAGTACCACTCGCTTTTAAAGGGGGGATTTCATTTGAGTTTGGTTTAATTAATCTTTTAGTCGCTGCCCATAGATTTGAGTCTGCTGGGTGTATAGCAGATAAGTATTTTTGATAACTGTTAATTCTATGTTCTTCTAGTTGTCTTTTAACCTCTTTCGTTAAATAATTTAATTTTTTTCGATCAAGTGGTTGTCTGTACAATTGCCAGAGTCTTCTGGTTTGGTGTTTTGATTTGATTAATTTTACAATGTTGAGGGGAAGTTGATTAGGACTATAATTTATTACCGTATTTTTTTTTTCTGAGCATTCTTCGGCCGCTTGACATATGATTTCACGTAAATGTGTTACTGCAGTGTCTGCGCTGTTAGTATTTAATATATTTTTAGGAATAATTAGATTTGTTGTGATGTGTTGTTTGAATTGTTGCCAATCTGCTTTACCGGTGATGAGTTTGCGAGTAGGAGTTGAGAACGATAAGGACGCATCTAATGTAATTTTAACAGGTAAATGGTCCGAGTCGAGTTCGAAAAGTGGTTCTTGGTGCAAAGAAAAACGAATTGATTTTAGTATAATTACATCTAAAATATCAGGACTTCTACTTTGATCATATGGATAGTATGTGGGTGTGTCTGGAGCTGACAGTATCGCAGGATTGCTTGCAAGGTATTTATAAAGTTTACGTCCATTAGCGTTTATGGATTTACAATTCCAAGTTGTATGCTTACAATTTAGGTCACCTACTAAAATAATTTTTTGATAGCTATTTAATATTTTTTCAAAGTCGTTTATATACATTTGAAAACTAGGTGATTGATAAGCACTAATTATTGTTGTAAATGATTGGTTTATTGTAATAGATATTGCAACTGCTTCGAGAGTTTGTGTAGCAGGTAGATAAGTTAATTGATGTTTTATTTTGGATTTGATTATTATAGCAACACCACCTGAAGGTCGAACCGCTAGCCTATCTTTGCGATAGGTAGTATAACCGTTGAATTTAATTTTATCGCTAGCAATTAGATGCGTTTCACTCACACATGCAATATCAACATTATGAGCCGATAAGAAAGCTGCAAATGTGTTTCGATTTTTCTTGATTCCATTAGCGTTCCAATTTATGATAACTAGATTAAGATTATTTATAATGTTAGACGACATTTATATTATTTAATAGAGCAGGTAGATTTTCGATGACTTTTTTGATAATTTGTGAGACGAGTGTGCTGATTAAGGGCATAAGTGACTTAATAAGTTCGTTAGTGATATTTGAGTTATTTGATTCTTCATCTTGTTTAAGATTATTTTTTTTATTTTTAGTTTTGTCAGCATAAGTTGGAGTGTTGCTTGTGTTGAGATTTGTTTGGTTTAAAACTTGGTTTTGGGGATTTTCGATAACCGTATTGGTTATGGGTTGGGTATTTTTGTTATCGTGTACACAACTTTGTTGAGTAATGTGTTTAGGAGCGTTCTTTGATAGTTGGGAGGTACTTTTTTTATTTTTTATTTGCTTGTATATTTTACAACCTCTATAATTAGCAGGGTGATTTTCATTACAATTGACACATATAGGTGGACTGTTTTTATCCTTAGTGCATTCGGAGTAGTGGTGGTTTTCTAAGCATTTGACACATCTAGGGGGGAGGTTGCAGAAGTTTTTTGTGTGTTGGTAACGTTGGCAATTTTTGCATTGTGGTATGGACGAATCGCTTTTACGACTCTCGACCGAGACAACGCAATGAAGGAGGCGATCAAGTGAAAATATGTTTTTCTCGGATTTGTCTAGTAAGACAGCAACGATTGGTATGGGAGATTTGTAACGATTTTGGAGACGTGTGACCGAAGTGACGTTAAATTTTAGTTCAGTGAGGGCCGAAAAGATGGTTTCTTCGGGAATAGAAGTAGGTATATTTCTGATTATTACAGATAGGTTTCTTTCCTCAGGAAGTTGATAGGTGTGGTATTTAATGTTTTCTTCAGATAAGTATTTTGTAATTGTACGGTAGTCGAATACCGTTGATAAATTCAACTTTAAGAAAATATTTTTGTTGTTTATGTTAAAATTGTCTACTATCATAGGTGTGATCTTGTTTATGAACTCAATATAGTCGACGATATCATAAATATATAGTGGGGGAATTTTTTGAACTATTTGAATTACCTCTACAGCATCCATGTCAGTTTTCTCCGAGTTGTCATCATTTGTATTGTCAAGATTTGCGAGAGGAGTGTATTTATTTTTGTGCGCATGCCGCGGAGAAAGAGCCTCGCTGCTAGAACGTTTATTACCCGAGTATTGGGAAGTATTGGCTTTTACCATATTTGCACCATGCACTGAACTATTGATTTAGAAACACGCGCGACGGTAGATAAGCGAGCGAAATACGTAAACACAACCGGTTGCGATGTACGCCGCGCGAAGACGATACTCTTAATGTTAATCACATAAATTACATTAGATTTCCAATAAATACGTATGACTCCTTGAAGAGGACGCCACACTCACATGTGTTGTTTCTGTCATACAAACGTACCTAGTACGACATACGAAATTTGTATTCAGCAGTTTCAATATGTAATAACTATAAATAACCTTATTAGTTATTAGTAAATATTAATAGATAGAATTAAGATATTATCAAACTTAAAAGTAAGATCATTATCTGTACTTTCTCGAAGGTTTTTTATATTTTAATTTTCAAGCGGGATAATAATTATGACTTATGAGTAAGTAAAATATTACAAAAATTATCATAACTCGCCAAATAATTACAATACCGTAAAAACATGAGAAAACACGGATTTCAGACTTAACATTTTAGTTTAATAATAGGTCAATTCACTATATTATTAAAACTTACTTATACACTGCAATTGGCACAGCTAAAAGTCTGAAAACAAATTTTCTATGTTGTGTGTTTTCGTAAGACGAAGACAACACTAATTGCGGGTGCCACACCTAAACAGATTTAGTTATAGAGTGATTATTGTTGTGACCATTGGGCATATAAAAACATATATTTTATTTAACATGTCGAATTCAAATACTAAATTTTTTTAAATGTTTTCGTTTATTAACTAATTAGTGATACTGTGATAATATATATTTAACAAAAATAATTAATAATTATTTATTAACCGATACATTTGCCAAATTTAGAGCCAAAAATTATAAAAATTTTGGATATATTTACACCGCATGTTATAATACTATTTGTATTACCTACTTTAAGAAACTAACTGAATCTATATAGAATACACCTGTTGCTAAAATTTAAACAACAATAAGCTACAAAAGGACTAAAGAAAATAAAAATCAACTATATATTTACTGGGGCAGATGGCTTCTAACAATCGCATATTTGTTTTAAGCAATGGTAAAAAATTTGCAAATTAATATTCATTCATAAAACAGAGCCAAATTTGTAGTTGTATTACTATTTAGGTATTTTTGCTTATTGAGACATATTTGGGTTTACATTTTCCTTTTTTTTTTTTTACTATTTTTGCATGTTTTCGTTTACAAAACGTTTATAAAAACGATAGTCTTATATCTTATGTTCTATAATTTATAGTTCTTATATTTTTGATTATGTTAAAGCCTCCACGCACTACTGCTGTGATGGTAGGTCAAATGAGTATTTAAGTATACACTGTACACAAGTACCTAATTAGATATTTTCCATGACTTATTTTACATAATTATTATTTAAAATTGTATTTATTTTTAATATTTTTTTAATCAAACCGATTAACAGCAATTGTTTAGTGCATATTTTGAGTTTAATATATTTAAGTACAAGCACTTGCATATTTTGTTTGTTTTATACATGTCCTCTCCATTAGTAATTATTAATATGTTAATAGTAAGTTAATTAAGGTAATACCTTAATAAATTAAATATGTAATATTATATTGATTTACATTTACATGACATACTTTATTTTAAAATTCAGGTTTGGCGTTTAAAGCAGTGTCCCCTGATGGAGATTTAATAGGCGTCGTCCTAAATAATCTGACGTGCCGAGTAGATGGCGAAAAAAATAACGAAAGCGAAGATGACATAAAAGATGACACCAAGTTTAATAATATTACGGCATTTTTAGATAAAGTCGAGCGAGAAGCAGATGTGTTCAAAAAATATCCAAACATAGATCGTGTAATGGAAATAAAAATAATTTCGGTGGATGAATCATTTAGAGGCCAAGGAGTATGCAAAGCTCTAATTGATAAGACAATGTAAGCTTATTAATATTAGGTCATTAGGTGCATGGATATTTGGTATTACCACAGTTTTATATTAGTATATATCCATACCACCGTGGTACAATCTGTAAATTGTTTTTTAATTTCTACAATAGTAGTCATACTAAATTAGTATAAAATAGTAATTACACTACAGGTCCATCTAACATGAAACCATCTACATTAAACATTAAAACACAATTTTAATTATAATGGTTTCATTATTTTCTTAAATAGTAGATATTAATGATATTTATTAAATTTTGTTTGAATTGTCAGGGGCAAAATTTCAATTGAAAAATTGGGAGTGCTGAAACTATTTTTTTTTTAATAAGTCTTATGATCAGCATGTATGAACAACTAACACAACAAACAGCTTTGCTTCCCACACAATAATCACAATGGTTTTGTACTTCACGTATTTATTTATTATTTTAAAATAAGCACTAATTAACCAAACATATTAAATGGCGTAAAAAATTAAGGTGCTGATTTAAAAATGCTAAGCACACCCAAGCTCCTCGAATTGAGATAACATGAACAACCCTATGATCAATACATTGCATTTATTTTGAAATGAAAATTACTAATTGATAATAATGATAATAAACTATTTTTAGTTATTTATTACTTATTTTTAATATTTTAATACCGATACAAATACATCCATTCAGAAAGTATTTAAATACATTTACTCAAACACTTGACAAGAATGTTATAATATAAAAAAAAATGTTATTCCGTTAATGGTTACATAGGTAGATTTACATTCAGTCAACGTTAAGAAAGACAATAATTACTATTATTATTAATACTATAGACGTATACACTGTTTTTACAGCACCTCCATCTGACATATCTATCAGCCAGCTGTCTGATGTATTGAAATTTGTGCCTATTCACTATTAAACACTAATAAAGATAGGTATTAATTATAATCCAAAATAAAAGTATAATCTAAAATATAACCAATTTGTAACAAGTCAGCAAACTTATCGCTTCCGGAATTATTATAAAAAATGCGTTTTATTCCATGATTGGGGTAAAAAGGCGTATGCTAAATTAATTCATAAGAATATATTTTATTAAAATAACCTAAAATATAACTTGAAAACCGGTTATGATTTGATTCTATACTTCTAAATAAAATAACGGTACTTACTATTGTACTGAACGAAAGTAAATGAAAGCAAAGCTTGAGGCTTGACGTGTTGTTAATTAATATAATATATCACTAGGTAGACACTTCTTTAATACTCCAAGGTTAGGTTCATAAAACGAATAAAATTATTACTTTATCTCTCTTTGCCGCCAAAACTTCATCAACATACGTCAAGAAAATGTTTTATCACGTTTACGTTCGGCAACAAAATTATATTAACAAAAAAGTATGACCAGATGGCAAATATTAAATTATTTATACACAATATAGTTAAGTCTGCCCCATGCGCCATTATACCCCCAAGTTACTCTATGGCTATTATTATACCACGATTCATGTACCAATAAGATTTTATAAGATCATCTGGTTTTAAATTATCTGTGGATATTGGATGTACTAAAGGTATATTACACTATTAATAAGTTTTATTACTCTAAGGTATATCTTAAACCGTGGTTATAGCCATATATTATATTAATATATTATGGGTGCAAACTATATAAATATAAATGGATGTTGATACGTGGTACTTCTGACTATGTAATTAATACAAGTATCATTGTACATTTTACTTTTTAGAGAGTTAGCGTTGGAAAAAGAATGCCCCATGGTTTATGTGGAGTGCAGCAGTTATTTTTCGGCCAAAGCAGCTGAGAGACTTGGTTTCGAGTGCATATATACTTTGTACTTTCGAGACTATTTGGATGAAAATGGTGAAGTCGTTTTTAAAACTCCGCCTCCTCACGACTCTTCAAAGGTATTCATATTAAATTTATAAGATCAACACCAAATCCCATTCAAACATAGGTGAACATATTCAGCTGTATTCCAAAAATTGCCATAAATAGTATAAAATACCTAGTTTAAGCTTTTCGTGTATACTTACTGTTATTTAAAAAAAAAACTATGTACCATCTATGATCTGAATACTCAAAACTAAAATATTTATCTTTTTAACGTTTTATTATTACTTATTTTTGAAACTATTGTTATAATAATATTATTATTGTATTGTTTAAATACATCCATAAATATACCTAATATATAACCTATATTCTATGTTTGATTGTAATATATTATGTGTAGGTACTAAGTAGAACTCCTTAACTCTTATAGTATAATCAATGGGGGGGAGGGGGGATATTTTCATTTTTCCATTTTTGTTTCACTATCTGATTAATGATAATTGATAAAGTATTGTTTGTGACATGATTTCTTTCATATATATTGGGCATGTAAAAATTATATTTATGAATTATAATATATAGATAGTTAAAACTTAATCTAACAATTAAAAACAAATAATTTGTCACCATTAATTTAAAAATTTTATGTTATTTATAAAATGAAATGTTTCAAGCTTCTATAAAATAAATATGATAGATTTTAATACAAAAACGACCAAATTATTTTTTTTATTTTGAGAACTCGAGTACCTATAAAAATGTTAAATATTATTATATAATTATTAATCGTTAAAGTTTTGACAAATATAATTTCTGAAACAAATATTGAACTAATCACCAGGTGTAAATAAACAAGTAAACAACCAAAAATAATGATAAAAAAAAGTTAGTTTTTATTATTAACAACTTGTTACAATACCAATAATATACTTTACTCATTAATCATTTAATACCAGTCGGTTCCAGTTATTAAATATTAATTATTATATCTGTTAACAGCTGCAGTCAGCATCATAAAATAAAAAAATTGTGTTATTTTATATTACATAACGATAATGATAATTGCTCCTACTTCCACCCCCCTGCGGATGCCCTTGAGTATAATATAAAAGCTCTTATTGTATTATACTATTATATAGTACCTATAATAAATAATATATACATACAGCTAATTTAGGCTAAGTTTATACAATACCATGATACCTTTGCATACCTTAATTTGATTAAAATACTTAAGTGCTGTCCTCCACAAATCCTAATCCCTCTGAATAATTTTAAGTACACTACCTAGGTCCTAGGTACTCCTATTTATGTAGTACCTATGTTATAATATATAAATAAATGGAAATCATATGATTGCTTATATGAAAATGTTTATATACTTGTACTTACCGTATAATCAAAATATTTCCCTAAGACAATATTGTATTAATAAAAACTGCGTCAATATGAATATTATTTCATTTTTAACGTACTTTCAAGCGCTAGTACATAAAGTATTCCAATAGATTGGGAGGATCTTTTTTTAATTCTATCTCGTCCAAAAGCAGTAATATAGCCCAGGAGATATATCAACACACTCTTTACTTTCCCGCCAAGTAAAAAAGTTGAAAACCTCAACATCATAAATGGTGCTAAACACCGATTATTCTATTTTCAAATTTCTCGAACGATCTAGGTTCCGTTTTTTAGAGTGGGAATTTGGTTTATTTGCAGCTAAATGAACTCCCGTCTTCCCGATGACCCGATCATACACGTATTATATAAATATATAATTAATATGTTTAGCTATATAGGAAACACAAAACAATATGCTAGCCACTAGGTATTGCCTATTGCCACTATTGGATATATTTTCAGATTACAAAATAAATGAGAAATGTCTAATTACTAATTAGTGCTTTCCGTACGACCATTCATACTCATTACTCATTAGTCATTAGTCATTCTCTAACATTTTCAAGACTAAGGGTTACGTGCTCAGGGATATAAACGTACAGTACCGATGTCATTATCTAAGTATCTAACCCTAATAATATAAATACTAAATGGTAATCGTTAAAAAACTAATATTATTATTAGCGATTACATTTTTTGTTTAAATCAATTGAATTATTGTTATTGGCCTATATTGTAAATTAGAATATTATCGCTGTAAGTCGTAAGATGTGTTTATTATTAATTAATTGAGAAACTCTCAAATATTATATCTAATGTATTAGAAATTTAAAAAAAATTACTCCAATGTACCTTATGGATAATGCATACTCCTTTAAAAAATATAAGCTCTGTACATTAGTGAATTTAAGTGTTCAAATTAAGTCATCAAATCCATAAGAGGTACCTCGTACAAAATATATCATTAACATATTTACGAAATTGTTGTTTTTATTAACCTAACAATGGTAAATAATTTTGCAGTTTGCAATATAAAATGTATTTATAATTTTGTGGTTAAAATTTCAAAAAACTAAATATATAATTTGGGTGGGCTTCGACCGCTTGTGTACTGTACACATATAATTAGGAGAGGAGCCCGTGGGCATTTTCCCACTAAACGACCGTTAAATCCACCACTGGCTCAGTGTCTTCTTGGGACGACTTTTTATAAGCACTCACAAGTCACAACAGTACTACCTACTTACTGGTTATACCGAACGTCAAGAAACTTTCACTTATGAACTCATATTTTTATTTATCAACGCTATCTACTAGCTTCTTTTAAAACTAAATGAGTATAATAGTTTCATCACTAGGTAGTGCTATAAATATCCTTTATTTTAAAAATCAAATATAATACCAAAGTATAAAATTTAATTATAAAAATGTCGTTCGTACCTATATTATAATAATTTAAAAGTGATATTCTACTAGATATTTTTACTCTACAACTTACAAGGAAAATTAAGGAATCATATATATTTTTGAGTATTGTGCAGAGAAAAAATATCAAGTAAAATGTTACATTTTGTTAAAAATTGAATTGAATTGTTTTATTTTATTTGTATTATTGTTGATTTACGTTTCTATGGCAATAAAACATATATTTGACGGTATTATTTGTTAGTAAATGTTAGGGAGTATTACGCAATTATGTTGAATGTCGATATGAAGAAATAAAAACTAGTGTCATAAATCATAATATTACTATATTATGATTTATGACACTCTTAAGTTTTAATAATATTATTCTGTTTATTATAATACATTAATACGACAATATTATATTCTAGTAGTATAGTATAATTCCTAAACCTATTTTATGACATGTTCAAAATATTCAAAAGTAATAAAAACGATCCAATAGGCAAACAATAATAAAATTAAACAAATTGTTGTTCGCAAACGTAGATATTTTATATTCACATAAATATATAAATGATAACAATCAACATTAATTTATCGCGATTGCTGGATGGTATAACAGTGACACAGTGACGATACCAACAAATGTTATCATTCTTTTTAGATGCCTCTTTTATCGTTTAAATTTTAAATACACATCCAGATGACATTATACTCATATTCTACAGTCAGATTTGACTGACAAAAAATTCAAAAAGCCACTCCGACTATTTATTTTACCAGAGTCTTACTTGACAGTTGCAATTTACACACATCCACTTATAATATACTTTATATACACCTACAAGCGTTTAGGATGGAATCCAGGAAGGGTAAAATAGCCCTGAGACGCACCATACACATATAACATATAATTCCTCATTATTTTTAAAAGGAAATCATAATTTTGTTTGTTCACCTATTATATTAAAAGTATAGTAGGTATTATGAATTATGATACCTACTTTTTTTATTATTACTATGGAGAACCCTCAGCAACATAGGCCATTGGGTGTGGGGTGGTACGGTAGGGAGTTTTTTATATAGGTCTAGTAGGTTTGTATATTGGTAGAATTATACAACAATTAGAGTTCCTGTATGTGTGGCAGGGATGTGTTGCTAAAAACCCGGGTAGTCACCCATCCGGGAACTAGCAACGTGGGCCAGTACATATACTCAGAGTGTTCACTGTCTCCTCACATAGACAGTACGATCGACTTTCACCAAGCTACATTTATATTGTATTATTGGTAACACAATTTGTTAATGATTTTTTAACAATAAAGTTAGTGATGGATTTGATATTTAATAATACTTATATAATAGGTATTTAAAAATGTACAAGATAATTATTGTCTATTTGTGGTGGTTAGTTCCATTCAAAGAATGCCCCCCTGTGTTCAAATATTCACTTTGGATGATCCATTTTTACACGCGTTACATAAACACACGATAAATTCTAAAAAAAAAACGGTCGTAGAGACTAAACGCGTACCTACCGTGTGTATGAACCACACTCTATTATTCCTATACGACGAACTTATGAGTTGCGAATGGTAACTATTTAGCTTAGGTGACTAATATAGTAATTATATGTGTCTATAATTATAGCTAGGTTAGACGTTTATGCCGGATCGCATGAACAATCATTATACACATATTATTATATAAATATATATAATGGATCAATAGTGAGCTAATGATCCCTTAAGAGCATGATGATTTAGTCGCCCGTGATTGGTCATTGCATTATATTGAACCATTAAATTAATCATTTTTTACTGCAACCCGCTGCTTAAGCGTCTAATTGTCGCTATTAAAGCGCCACTCGACGCGCTTATCTGTCGGTAAATTGGCAACGCATTTTGTCATTCTTGAGGCTCGTAGTACGAAAAGGTTCATTTCACTCGAATTTTGTCACACTGTACACTACTAAAATATTAAACACGCACTCACAGGCGTCTTGAAGACGGTTCGATCGAGAATCTGATGGCGTCTGAAAACGTCACGATGGACGCAGAAAAAAGTAAAAACTCGCCATACTATATAGGTATACAGCACTACATCGTTTGTTTGTCATATTATATTATTCATAAGCCATTTAGATTTGTTTTTTGTGTACGCGCACCTACTAGACGTTTTTTGACCAATGAATAATAAATATTATGATGTAAATTATTGTAGCTTCGTATTATTCGTATATACGTAGGTCTACTAGTATATTATACAGTATAGATAGGTATACCGAAATAACTGCAGTTTTGAGGCACGAGTGCAAAAATATTTTGAGGCCTTTGCCCCGTAGACATCATAGGTTCAAGAGTAACAGGACCTAAATCTTTATTCCTCAAATATTATTCGGTATCGATTTTATTTTCATTAGGTGTTTTAATAATATTTATTCGGTTATTCCCTACAGGTTGTAGC